GGAGACAGAAATGTGCTACAGGCACACTTGCATTTATGAGTGGGGGGGCAGCCGCAAGCCTTGGCCCTTCCCTCCCCAGGGCGAGGTGAGCCAGGGGAACCCATGGCAGGTGCTGCACCACAGCCCCCGCAGTCTGTGCCACCCCACACAAGAGCCCTCCTTTCCCAAGGGAAGCACAGCTATGCTCCAGGTGCTCCTCCCTTTTCTCCTACCCACCCACTGGTCAGCAAAGATGTGCTGGGATACAAAAGCCACTGTGGTCCATGCAGCCCCCAGGACATCGGGAAAGGAGTGGTCCTAGGCAGTCACAGAGCCGCTGCAGCTTCCACAGGGCAGAGAACTCCTGCAGCAGCCCTGAATGCAGATGGTACCAAAGGGATTTTTTAAACAAACTCCTCATTCCTCCATGTATCCTAGCAACACCTCTCTGAGGTTAGAGATGCAAAGCCTTGCCCACCTGTTACACAGGAAGCCTGAGGCAAATTCTATATTGCTTTCTTCCCAGCTCGCCCCACTGGTATGAAGCCTGAGCGATTAAGGAATATGCCACAATCAGCATACCCCAGTCTCCTCTGCTCAGGCCGGGTGTCACACAGAGGTGTTCACATTTTTAAACATTGTGAACTCAGCAGTGGCTTACGCACTGCACATGTGGTCCAAGGAAAAGCCTTGCTGACACAGGCCGAGGGCTCTGTGATCAAGGCAGTAAAAACGGGGTGACATTAATCTCTGGCGCAAAAATGCTTTACACGCAGTGCTGAAGGAGCTCAGGTCCTGAACAGGTACCTAAATAAGATTTCCAACAGTTCTACGTCCAAAATGTGCACAGTGAAAAAAACTGAAAGAAAATTTAGTTCCCCATGTAATATACAGTGTTATTCCTTTTATGCATTGTGGCTGCAACATAATTATAATGAGCACTCCTTGTTTAAAAAAAAAAAAAAAAAAACCAAAAAAAACACACACACACACAAAAACCCTGGTTGGAAGGTTGAAAAGCAACCTTTCTCATAAGAGACACCATTCTTCCACCCCTCTCCTTCCCCCCAAGCACCCCTTAGCATTTTTGATTTATTGTGGAGGGAGTAATGATACTGAAAATGTTATAGGAATGATCATAGAACTTACAAATTTTGTTTAACAGAACAAATAAAAAAAAACCTTTAAAAAACCCACAAAAACACTATTACAAAAATCTGCAGAAGGAGCAATTTACAACGGATCGTTTTCTACATCCAGTGAAGATGGTCCTTTTCCTATGATTCTCCTGCCCATCAAATTAGATTTCCTTTCTCTGGCTATTACTGACCAAATCCTTTCAGCTACAATATACAGTTGTCACTTGAATCTCAGTTATCCTAATTTTTTTTTTCCTGCAAACAAGCAAATAAGAAACTACAGATTTTGCTGCTTTTTTGTGTTACTGAACTAATCACTGCTAAGTCCATTTTATTCTAACATGTTAAAGGAATTCAAGGCTTGCACAGGAGCACAGAGGTGAGCCTCTGTCCCCCGGGCCAATAGGGGAGATGACGTTATCACTGCTCAAAGATCTATCATTTGCTGTAGATCTCTCTTATTCATCTTCACTTAGAGGAAAATATGGGATACTTTCTAAGTGGCTTTGGCACTTGTGAGTTATCCCTCTTTCCCCACTCATAAAGACAAACGCTGTAATGAAACGCAGCCATCAGGTATTCTCTATATTCGGAGCACTCAAAGTGTGAACAATGATTATGCCCCTTCATCGGGTACGTTAAGGTTGACTGCCTAGCTACCTGGGGAAGCCAGAAATTATTTGCACTAGCTCACAGGCAATGAATGGAAGAAGGCGGCATATCTTCTCCCTCAGCATTGGTTATTCTGCTAATCTCAGGCTGAATAATACATTCAGTATGTCAAACCTTCCTTTTTACTTTAAAGCTACTTGGCAGCTTAATCTGCAAGATGAGATGAGTCCAGCTGAGATAGCAGCAGCTACTCCATTAGTTCAATGTCTGTTTATTTTTTGACACTTTTGGGGAACCATTGACTAAGTTTTTGTAACAAGGGAGATAAGGATTTTTAAAGGTAAGATTTTTTGCAAGCGTCACATGAATTTTAGGACACTGTCCTGGCCTGCGCTACACAAACAAAACTCCCTTATGGGTTGACAGACACCATGAGTGAGACCTGGATCACGTTTTCTGCCTGAGATAAAGCTTGCTACCTTCGTAGTTGTCATTTTTTTTTACAGTGTAGAGGAGGAAATTCAAGCATTTAAAGTTACATTTAAATATGAAAACCTGACAGACATATCTGGCAATTAAAACAGAGCTGTTAACAACACACTGAAAATAATGCAACGGTGCTGCACAGGAGGCTGAAACTGTGTCTCTCATTAAATCTGAGAAAAACCTGTACGTGAGAGCAGCTTCCTCATCTATTTAACACAGGGACCAGTATTTTTATTTGTATATTGCGCAGTACTGGGCAGAAATATGAACCCATCATCCAGCACTGCACAAATAAGGACAGAGCTTCCCAAATTTCTGTGAACAAGGCATGAGCCCTTGAAAGACAGCTCTTCACATACAAGGCAAGAGTTATGTTTAATATTTTACTCAAGTGGAAGAGATGCACCATTCAAAGCCAATCTTTTGAAATCTGCAGTGGACGTGAAGGATGCAAGCTCGCAGGGGCTGCTTCATCTTAAATTTAATAACAAATCACTAGTTGTTTCTAATGTAAATATGAAGCAGTTCATAGACACAGGGGAGGTTCATACACAGCTGATCTATCACAGCCTTGCAACATCACTGACTTCCACATCCACCAGTTATTTTTATGCAGCTACTAATGCTAAGGATGTGTTAGGAAAATAAATTAAGTATTAGTATGCTCCAGGGAGAGCATTTGCAACAAGAAGCAGGTTGTGCGTTAAAATAGCCAGGTGCATCTTAACCAGTATAAAAAATTGTCAAAGAACAGCTGCTGAAGGGACTCCTGACGCCCTGGCACATACTATCTAGACAATATTATGAGTATTTTGAAGTATGTACTGGTTCATATTCAGCACCCAGAAGCTATTTTAAGTGTTCAGTGGGAACAAGCTAGCATTATTAGGGCACTTTTCTTCCAGGGGACAACAATACATTATGAGCCAAATAATCCCATCAGAGGCCTTTGTAAACACCTAAATCAGATGAAGTGGCTGTGACGATCTCATGTTAGGACAGGTTCAGAGGCTGAGCTAAGGCAGGTTTTCTTATGACTTGAAAAGGAAGTCTAGCTATTTGCTGGGCAGTTTTGGTGCTGTGAATATGATGTAAAAGCAGCTTCCAGAGAATCTCTGGAGTCAGAGAAACTGCCTATTGGCACAGGGCAACTTGTTCAAGAAGAAAATCTTAAGCCAGAGCCTACAAGATAAGGTTTTTTACCTTACTGTAATAAGGTTTTTTATCTTACTGGGCAGCAAAGCCATGGCTAAATACACACCGAAAGTACAACCCTCGCTTCCTGGCAGAACAGCCTCAGACCCAAGAGGAAAGGGTTCCAGTCCGTCTCTGGCCTTGGCCTCATATCACCTGTCTCGGTCTCACCCACCCTAGTGTCTTTTACAAAGCATTTTTGTATAGGAAGAAACAGATAATACTGTTCTTGCCTGATGCTATGGCTCTGTGTTATGTGAAGTCATAGTCACAATGAACATCCTAAATCAGAAAGACGGAAAGAAATAAGGGAAAAGAAGAGGAAAATGGATTATGACAGTGATAGAGAGAAAAGTAGTAGATGGCAGGGATTTAGAGACCTTGGGAAGCACTCTGATACCAGTATGATGGTCTCAGTAAAGAAAACTGTTAAAAATATGACCGGAAGAAAGAGCCTGATAAGAAAGAGTCAGCCAAAACTATTTTATTTTGTAAAATATTTCAAGCCTCCTTTTCCCCTCATGCTTTTGAAAGGTTAGATGTACAGCCTGGTGAGTCTTGAACAACAGGGAACTGTAAGTACATGAGTGCGGCTCTGAATACTGCGACACAAAAAAAGCAGAGAGCAAAGGGTGCCTAAATATAGTTCAGAAGGCTCCCACCTCTCTGTACTCAGGTTCGAACTCCACATCCAGCTCAGGTAAGTGATTTTCAGTCAGTGTTTAGCCACTAGCAGAAATAAGGCCATTGCACAACCACCAAAGCTTAGGGTAAAAATGATCACAGATGATGAGGAACCAGGTATAAATAAAATACTTCCAGTGAACTCCCTAAAAAGAGTTTACCACTGCCTGCACTTAATTAAGTTACAGTCCAGTAATATTTATCCAGTTTTTAATCTCCTAAACCACTGACTGTAGATCCTCAGCTGGGAAAATTAAATGTTGATCTACCCCACAACATGATCCAGCCTTGAATTTACAGATGAACATAAAACCATGGACTTGGTTTACATTTTTGTGTCAAGAAAATAAGCACTTTTCTCACTATATATAATGCACTACTTTTGCTTAGAAAAGGGAGTCCTAAAATTAAAGACACCAAAGATACAGTCTCTCTCCCACCCCCTTTCTCTCCCCCCACACCCCAGTGCAGCAGCAATAGTGACACTGACAGCAGCAAGAGCAGAGCTAGGGGGGATGCTAAAGCTAAGTTAACTTGGCAGAAAATTCGTAACATCTGAAGCAACATAGATGCAATAACCAAGGATCACAAGGAAATCAACATGGTCATGATCTCAAAACTGCAAAAAAAGTTCATCTACTCTTTCAACGACTATTTCTGTTTCAAATACGCTCCCCTAGCATGACTTCCATACACAGCCTTTGATCAGTATTGAGAAAAGTATGGTTGTGAACCAAAAAAAATAATGAAGTACCAACGAAGATCTCAAAAAGCATACAACTGCCAGCCTCTCATGGTACCTCCGTTATCTGCAGAATGCAAGTGATTGAGAGCATTTAGGCAAATATTCAACAAGCTCATTTTTTTTCTGGCAACTAATCCATCATATTTGCAAGTTTCACTTACCTGTCAAGTTCTTCAGGCCAAGTTCCCTGAGTCCAAAGTTACCATCCTTTCTGTAGTTAAGAAATATCGCCAAAGCATATCGCTCTTCATAGAGTTTGGTCCCACGAACGATGCGCAGGTTCTCCAATGGCAGATACTCAAACTGATTCAAAGCCACCAAAACGTAGCCTGTGACTTCTCGGATCGACTGAAAGGCAAAAATGAAACAAACACATTAAAAACACTCCATTTTTAATTGTTTTGAATAAGTGGATGCTTTAGAATGAAATGCTGATACCCAAGAAAGAAAAACAACTTTGGAAAACAAATTCTGTTTCAACTTGCTGATTTTCCACTTAATTCAGTTTATTAGACATACTTGATTGAAAAGTAGAAAATAAAGAGGTAGCCATTCTTCTGATGAATGCTCTTCTTCTGCTCTTCTTTTTGAGCAGAAATTCACAGTAAAGTATTAAAAATGCACAAAAGGATGACTTTACAGAACTCAAAGCAGAGAGCAGGTCAAAGGCCTCTGCAGGACATGAGCAGAACCCAATGGGGCAACGCCACAGTTTAGATAAGATTGTCTGTCTGCAAGTAACTCTCTGCTACACAAGATATTTCAGGGTGAGACTGAACGGACACAGCATGGGGGTAAGAGGCACTTCTGTAAGAGCTCACCATCAAACAGGAACAGATGGGAGAAATGGGAGGCAGGTTTGGAAAAGTAAATAAAGACAAAGCACATATGTATAAACAGACACTTTTGTACTTCTAAATGAAATCAATCACTAAACATTTGCAAAGATTCAACTTCAGGTTTTATTTGGAAGTGCTGAAACCATACATGCTACATATCCCAGGCTTTGATCAGAACTGGTATCAAAACCTTTAGCAAAATGATTGTTGCATCTTTGGGTTGTCTGAAATCTTGTTTTAGATGAACCACTCAACAACCCTCCTGATCACACTCAGGAATTTATTGCCTGGGTTGTAAAGGGAAAAAACACCCCAAAATCCCATAACTAGAAACAGTTTTTCAAATTTCAAAAGATTAACAGACCTAGGATGTTTTTATAAACAAAAAAATATTTTAAAGCATTATCTTTTAGAAAATAAACTTCATTCTAAGGAATTTAAATAAATGGCCCACAAATCTGCAAATACCTTTGACAGTGTAATTTAAGCGCTCGCATAGAGCCCCATCATCCTCAGGAGGACTTTACACAGGCTGAGGCATGCTCCAGAGCTACTCCCAGAAACGGGACCTCCATGTTGGAAACAGTCTCTCAGAGTTTTCAAATCTCACCTAATTCCATGCCTGTGACACCCTGCAACCACTGTATATGCCTATATTCATGCGTGCATGTATATTTAATAGGCAGAAATTGATACAACTACTTGTGCGTTTAAGTGGCTGCATACACTTTTTTCTTCCCTTCGGCAAAGTCAATACCTTAAGACACAGAAAGAAAAATTCTGCTTAGAGTAACATGCACAGACTATAACTAACATGATGGCAACTCCAGTCAATATTGTAATAAAAACAAACAGGCAAACAATAGCAGACATCAAATTAAATGTGTTGTGTGTGTATCGTTAAGAAAGGCAACATGGATTTGCAGCACAAAGGAGAGGCTTTCGCTTTGCTAGTTCAGCACTGCTGCCATGATTTCATAAGCAAGTGTGCAACAGCCTTTTAATTTGGTTTACAGAAGTTCTTAAGATTATTAACAAGTATGCCAGTATACATAAGGGAAGGATTTATATGCCACAAACTCTAGGCACTAGCTGTCTTTTTAAAGTCAGACGTCCCTACTCAGCTGAAGCTGCTGAAATAGCTCTGGAGCCATTTCAGGACTTGCTTGGCATCTAAACAGAGCACAGTGTCATTACAGGACTTTGATGAGAACCCAGTGAGTGGAGCTAGGTTGAGAAGTACGGTTCAGTAGCTCAGTATTAAATGTAGAGCTGCATTATACCCTGGGACACTGATTCCATTATAATCAGAAGCTTTCTGGCACTTTCATGATAGCTCTTTGCTTTCAGACCTTTCAGCTTAGCCAGTTTGGTCACGAATTTGTTTTTCATCTTATACAAAAATTTCCTTAAGCTGCCTTTTTTAGCCTCTCTTCAGAACTAGGAAATATTAAAATTATACTCATGGCTTCAATTTCTCCACTGATATCCTAGGGATACTGTGATTGCTCTAATTAATTTAAAGGGATGTTTAACTTGGAATTGAGTTGAAAAAAATTAAAAGCATTTCCAAAACTGCATCTGACCAAGTCCTCCCTGCCAATTTTTGTCACTTATAACCATGTTTTCTATTTCTAGGGTATGTCTTATTCACTGACAAACAGTACGCCCACCTGAACAGGCCCTAATTCAGCATGGCACTGAAACTACACACACACACACACACGCACACACACACACTCTCAGTGGCAAATCTTCATTCCAAAGTTTAAATAAAATTTAAAAAAAAAAAAAAGAGGAGAAAAGGACAAAGTTTTGTTGTTGATAACTGTGAAGCCTCAGAAGCCCTGTACTTTGTTTTGCTTATCCAACTGAAATGACAAATTATGGCAAGTATTTTGACAAGCCAGAGGCTCCTTTTCAGTCCCACAGCTTCCATCATATTGCAACACCTATTTATTTGCTGGAGAAACTGCTGTATTAATCCTTGCAAAACAAAATTATGAAAATAAGCCAAAGGGTTTCTAATTTACTAGAACATAACAACTGACCAAATCTAGTGGCCTGTTATATTAATTTAGGGATTTATTTTATTTTTAATTTAAATTTGAATGTAAAAGGCAGAGCAGGATGGTGTGTTTCCTGACTGGTCCAGCTTGAGAAAATGTACTGGGAGCACAGCAGGCAGCTCAGGTTTTGGCCGCTCCAGGCCAATGCTGTCACTTTGCCAGTCACTGTAAGTTTTGACATGATTCTTACTTCAAATGGACATCTGCCCACTTGGAACTCACCCCAAGCCCTGTTGGAGTCACTGCAAAGACGCCTGTTGGCTTCCATGCAGGCTCACAAATCCTCACGCCAGACAGGATCAGACAGCCTGATCTCCTCCTCTGCAACTCATGCCAAAGTCAGGCATGATTTCAACCTCCCATCCTTTGTATACAAGGCTGAACCCTTTTCCTGTTCAGGTATCCTGAACTCAGGTACAAGCTCAGGTATCCTAACACTCTATTTGAGCTGCTTTTGCTTCAGCATTAACCTGTGTTCCACCAAGAAGGTGGAGTGACTCACAGCAGTGTAGTTTGAGTGTCACCTCCTAGTTTGATCCTCCTGCTAGGGCTGGACGTCCTTGCAAAAATAAATTTCTCATGTATTTTTCATTTCTCATTGAGTCTGTCCCTCAGGAAAGAAAAAAAAAAAAGGAACCAAGGATGCATGTAACTGAATTTTGCTCCCATAACCTCCAACTAGAATAGAAGGAGGTAAATTACTCACCAACAGACTTAAAGCTAAAAGTTTCCAATAGGGAAAACTAAACAAACTCCAGCAACCTCCAGTCTTGCTGACCACCAATTTTGCAGGGCTCCACCCCCCCCACCCCCCCATTACAGCATTATTTTGACTGGAAATTTCTGGCCAGCATGGCCTTGCCTTTCCTTATCACCTTTCCAGCTCAAGACATGACCTGTGAAGAAGCCACCAAGTGCGTCAGCGGAAGACTCCGGCTCCTGTAGCACTCTAGCTGCTTCAGTAGATGCATTTTGGCTTCCCACAGCTGTTTGGGAACCGCAGCCCAAACAAGTGTACGGATTTGAACAAAGAACAAGCTGAAACATCCAGGGTCTCTGTCACAAAGGGACAAGGGACGCTGTTCATCAAGCTCTCTGAGAAAATGCCTGGCTGTTCAAAAGCAGATGAGGAGACACCTCTGAGGATCTGAGAGCCAAAGGCGTCTGCTCCTCTGACCGGGCCTGTTAGGTGTCAGATCCCGAAACAGGAAAGGGCGTGCTTCTACCAGGAGAAAAGGAGTGGGGAAACAAACAAACAAAAGTATTAATCCTTGACAAATGTAAAGCCTCATGAGCTGCTTTAAAAACAAGCCAAGCCAC